CAGTATTGTGCTGATTAAGGAACGTTTGTTTTTTCTTGTTCCCTAATTCACAGCAGTACGACATTAGCTCAGGTTTCAAAAAGTGGTTTTGAAATTTGAGTAATTCAGGTTTTTATCCCCCGGGAAATAAAGCAACAGCTGAATCTTACTTATCTGTGCTATTTTTATTATACTGTCCACATAGGGACTCAGTCCATTTGTAGCAATACACTTGTAATCACCCAAATCTTGATCGTCTCTGAACGTCACTTGCACTTTGTTTTCTCTAACTCTGACCCCGTTTGTTTCTCTTCCATCCGGTTTGTATCAAGCCAGCTTTGGCACAGAAACACCATCAGACCTTCATTTTAAAGTCACCATCTGACCAATCCAAGACTTACCGGCTGATGTGGCTACATTTTGTGTAGAAGGTGGGTCTACAAAGTGAACAAGAAGTAACTCAAGATGTAAAACTAACACCACTTAGGCATTTCATCGCTACCGGGAAATGTGCGTCTGGTGTAAATTGATAAATGCACATTTGAATTCCTAGCTGATTCTCTTTCTCTGCTACTATGTTGTGTCGGGGAAATTTTGATTTAAGGGAGTCTCATGCTTATTAAAATGGTAATGTTGGGAAATGATTCATTAATTCTCAAATAAAAACTTCGAAGAAAGTTACATGATCAGTAATGTCTGCCGACGGTCTTTCACAACAGTACCCAATTATGTTAAACGGCCTTAAAATTTGCATGTACGCAGTCTTATTGTATACACTCGATTTCAAAAACGTCGACACCTAAAATACATGAAGTTTGGAGAGCACGAGAGAAGCATACGAGAGTAAATACGATATACAAACAGCTAACTGAGCAAGAACCAATTCCTGTATAACAAAGCATGTAGATACAAGTTTCGGACGAAAAAAAAAGGAAAATTACAACTCAGTATGTTGGGTTCACCAGATAATCATGTTCTATCCGAAAACTATGACAAGGCAAAAAAGACTAAGAAATATCTTCAGACCAAATCTTTATTCAAAGAATTGATATATTTCTGCTCAGAAGAGAAAAAAGAACGACTTTCATGCATGTATGAGACTGCGTAGTAGATTCAGCGTGCTTGAATCGCTGTTTACCAGAATTCACGACCAGAACATTGCGTGGGTTTGTGTTCAAAATTTTGAGAATGTATGATTTTAAACAAAATCTTTTAATGAACAACACTTTTGGGACATATCTACACTTCAAAATAATATTTACTGTTTGAATGACATAGCACTTACGACACCCGTGTGAAAGATTTACCATGCTTGCAGTTTTGTACAAATCTGTCTCGATAAGCTGAAAGGTACCTTTACATATTTACTAACCATTTACATCAAAATTCTGTTTCCTTTCGTTGTCACCTTCTCAACGAGCAAGCTTTTCTTTCCATCCTTTCTCGGTTTGATTATCTGTGATATAAATGACTGTAAGAACACGATGGAGATCTACCTATCTTAATTCCGGCTTACACAAGTACTGATTAATTGAACGAAACTCAGTATTTCTCAATTGCAAAGCAATTATTACGTTACACTGTCAGACTGAATATGGTTTGGTAAGAGCATTAAATGCACATTTTTATTATTAAATCTTAAATCTTAATCCCAAAGTATTAAGGAATTATCTGGACCTTACGCATCGCTGATAAATCTGTTCCTCCTTTGGAACCCAGTATCTATTTATAGTTATATAATAAGCTCAGTTATGCACGCATTCCGATTGGTTCTCACTTATGATCTAGAACAGTGAACTGCGCCTCATGTGCCACTTTTTTGTTCTTACCACATTTTGACGTCATCTGTGATCTATTACTGAACAGACGCACGGAAATTTGGAATCTATTTGTTAACTAATGCATAGCGCACGGATCTTTTAAGCCGTGTTCTAAAATTATATGAATACTGAAGTGACCCTCTATGAGTAATATGCAGCTGTTAAACGATTACATTGATGATCATTTCAAGTCTAAGATGACTCATCATTATTATAATTTAACAGATTTAAAACATCGTGAAGCTGTAATGTAAATGTAATCCATGAGTGGTGCATGTCCTTGTGTGCGTAATAATTTGTTCATAAAGGTGTAGAAGCAAAGCCAATTCTTTTAATCAGCGCTCGTATAGGGCTTTGTCAGAACCAACAGCATTTCGAATGAGACGTTGGGAAATTAAGAGCCATTTTCCGAGAAAATCGAAAATCGCATGACACTCGTGAAAAAAACGAATTTTTTTTCCTCTCGCCAAAACATCCCTTTTCGGTAACCTTGTTGAAGAAAAAATAATTTTGGGTTCAAGCGATTCATTGTACGGGAGAAATTACAAAAAGTTTGAAAAATCGATTTTTTGCTTGTTTTTCGTACTCAAAAGAACAAAATCCGACCGCAACTTCGAGAAAACGGTGAACGCATAAGAAACAATCCCTAACATCGAAACTTCAGCCGAGTATTATTTCGTACTTACTCTTTAATTTCCTGAAAGAAATTTGAAGAAAGAAGTTTTTAACATTTACAATCGACAAGTTTAAAAAGGTCAAATTTGTATCCCTGGAAATGTTAATAAATGAAGGCGAACTTTAACTGTTGTAAAAGGCCACTGGTATATGCCGCTTCCTAGTAAAACCCATATAGAATAAAACCTTGGCTATTGAACTAAATTACTGGAAAGTTTTAGCTCTGGAAATCCAATATAGTCCTCACACTAAAGTAAGCAATTTGAGTATCTGAGTAAATAAAATTTATGCAAATTAGACGGCCCGCTGAATGAATTCATATTTTTAACGCAAAGTTTTGTTGAACGAACAACTTACCATTGCTTGTTGCGATAGAAGTTAAATCCATCTCTCAATCTGTTTGTCCTGTGAAGTGGCAACTCATCCATATCTGATTTTGACCAAAATGTGTCCAGCAACTTCAGCGCTTGATCTATCTAAACACTTCCCACGCAGCGCTTATTACGCATTATCAGACGCTTTAATAATAATGAAACCCGATTATGTTTTGGTCCGAAAATAACATACAATGATGAAAATTAACCACTGCTCAAACCACACAGTTAACAAGGTGAGTATTATTCTTATTGAGCGAACAAATCAGATACTAGACGGAATAACAAGATCATATGACGTGTAATTTAGCAAACGTGCAGAGATTGGTCACGCTAGCTTGTCGCATATGACGGTACGTGCTATACTTCGTACACAATGTAAACAGACAAAGAAGCAATTACAGCTGTCCCAATGAAAAAATGTACAACCCTACGTCTGTTTATAGATCATCAGTGTAGAAATATTCGACTCTAGGAACAATATTAATAAAACATTTCCAGGTCAAATGCTGCTGGAATATTATATATTGTCACGAACTGTTTCGCCACTTACTATTGCACGTGCCTCTACGATATTATTTTTAATTGAATTATTCCCGTCTAGTATTATGAATACCGAAACAGCGGTAGTGGAGTTTGTCTCGTTTGTTGGGAGAGCTTTGTTTTTTGTCATGGCTTCGGCAACGTTTCACTCATGTAGTTTTTCTGGTTTATTACACGACGCCACACCCTGTGGTTTAAGCAGCGATTATCCAGGCCAAGTTGAAGTTCTCGCTTTAAGAAATTGTACAAGGGACATTTCGAGGCACTGCGAGCTGTATGGATTAAAAGCAGATACAGCACTTGACACTGAATGGAAACTGCTGTTAGCAAGAGCAGGTAAATCTTATGTACTGTCTTACCGTCTTACGTAGCGGCTAATAGTGGTGTACATTTCCATCATCTCTTTATCACAGACCTCAAGATGGTCATGTTATTCTAAGAAAATCTTCGGGTGCTTTCCATTCAGCCCAAAATTCCGCAAGTTTCGGTTAGAAATCAAATGGAATGGACCATTTCGGTTCGGTCCTACCAGAATATTTGGGAACGCCTTTGAAGCTGGTCCACTTTGACCGGTCAGGTTATTTCGGTTGGTCGAACCGAAATGTCCCCTTCCATTTGACAAAATTATTGTCCCCAGTACTTGCGTACCGCTCTTTTGTATCCTGCTTGCAAGAACAATAAGCAAACGAGTTCATCTCTTTAAAAATCGCAGGCTTTTATCCGCGGCGTTAATATTTTGCAAACCTAATATTAACGCTAACGATAGCAAAAAAGATCTTTATTCACCACCCCCCCCCCCCCCGCTCCGCCACCCACGTACACACACCTTTCACTGATACACAGACTTTAAAGACTTTTTTATGAAAAAGGGGACCTCGAGATCTCCTAGCACACGAGCCTCTCAACTCGCTCGTGATGTATGCAATGGATAATTTTCCCTTTACCTTTGTTTAGGGGTATTTGCAGTGGAAGAGTCCCACTTGTCATTGACAATATGCCCTCGCTTATTTTAAACACTGAAGGAATACTTATTCAAGTTGGATCGCGTAAGTTTATCGTAACACATTTGTAGCTAAAGTATACGCTTTAATTTTAAACGAGCGAGGGCGTAAAGCAACATATGCGCAAGCGTTACAATACCCTTTATTCTCCTGTTCCCCTCCTGGGTAACTGTGAATAACTGTAAACTTTGAAAATGACTCTGAAAATGATTTTAAGACGAATAGCTCACTGGTCGTTTCTTTAAATTCCTTTCGGTCTGGCTGGAGCGGGAGTATTGATAATGATAGCGGTATGCATGTAAATTCATATTTTCTTTTTTTAAAATGATGTATAACTTAAGTTTCGAACTATAATAAAAAAACTAATGCCTAGTGACAAAATAAAGAGAAATATTGAAGTAACATTGATGTCTAAACGTCTTTTTTGCATGTTACAGAACAGCTCAAACTCATCTCCAGGACAAAGTGATACCGGTCAATCTGTTGAAGAGTTCGCAGAAAGCCTTGGACGTCTAACAATCGCTGATGACACCTTTCTGTCACCAGACACAATAAGCACAGCTTCCACTCAAAGTGACGAGCCCACACCTGTGATCTTGCATGAGCCGCGCGAAAAGCTGAGTGAGTTCCTGGCAGCATGCAAACTTGAACCGCTTGGAAAGCCATGGCTTTCTTGGAGTGATTCCTCTGAGCGAACAAGACAACGTCAAACAAGGAGAGCCACAGAAATAGTAGCAACTGTGCTAAAGAGCATCACCCCTGATAATGCTGGTGAACTCTGGCGACGTTTAGCCTCTTCTACGGCTATGAACAAGGCCCTAGGTGTAAGCGAGTTGTCACATTCAGAGCATTTGTATTTAGAGGCCCTAGCAGAAGTGTACCAGAATGCAACCAGCTGGGATACCCGTAGACAAGTGCTTTCGATTATGGCAGGCGTTGGAACTTTCAACGACATTTCCCGCTATATCCCGGGGTTGACAAGATACCGATACTCCATGGCTAATCTTCATCGATCACAGTTTGGCCGAGGCGCTCAAGTTCCACAACAGCCTACCACACGAATACGAGTAGACTTGAGGCAGCTTGACCACTTTCTTGGTTTCATCACGAGCCCGCATCTTGTTCAGGACCTTCCATTTGGGCAAAAACATCTCAACCTTTCGTCTGGTGAGGTTATTCAAGTACCTAACGTAATCAGTATGATGATACCCGAGCGAGTGATACAACAGTACACTCAGTACTGTTTGGAGATCAACTTCAAACCATTCAGCGAAACTACTATGAGACGGGTACTCTTTGAGTGCAGTGCCTCTGTAAGAAAATCACTGCAGGGCTTAGATTATTTTGCAGCTGAAGGTGCTCGCGCATTTGATGATCTCGTGGCCCTCGTACGCCAAATAGGGGGATTAGGTTCCGGCAAGGAGTGGGAGACTACAGTTGTGCAAGCTCTTATGACAAGCAAGCAGTATTTGAAGGGGGACTATAAGGTAATGTGAATTCTGACTCCAGAAAGACAGCTTGAATAAAACTAAAAGTAAGTACTTATTTTACCTCGTCAACAAAATCATTCCGTAAACAAATATATATTTTGTACTCTTTTTCTTCACTAAATGGTGCACGTGTAACTAGCTTACATAAATTCTCGAGATTAACAATGCGCGCACGAGGATAGTTTTTTTTTCTATGGTTAAGGTTAAAAGTTATTCGCCCCCTTACGTTAATAATATATGTTAGATTAAAAAATCATTTGATTAACTATTATATTGAAGTATAAGCACAGACAAACAGTAATCTCAGTTTTGTTTTATCAACAGGTTCATGTCACAAGCCACTCTAACGTAGCAGACCATTGTGTGTTGTTTGCTCTTAGCGACAGTAGTGATGCAGATTACCAGCAACAATGCAGTCACCAACACACTGATCTTTGTGACCGTTGTCAAAGTCTTCAGGAAACTCTGGCAAAGATTGAACGGGTCCTTGGCGAGAGACCTTCCCGACTCAGGACGCGAAAGACGAAGCGCTATTTATATTCCAGACAGCCCAGCTGGCCATAATGTCCTGGAAATGCCACATCCTTAGATCAGCTAACCAAGAACAAGCGGGAATAGATGTACTGGAGAAACTTGACGACAACACTGTCTTGATAATTAACGACTGGGCCATGAAGTTCCTGCCACAAAAATACAGAGAGTCCCAAACCGACTGGTTTGGTAAGCGAGGTATCTCCTGGCACGTTTCTGTCGTCTACCGTCGTGTGAGCGGGGCACTCCAGTGGCAGGGCTTTCTGCACATAGTCCAGTCGTGCAATCAAGGCAGTGCTGCAGTGGTTAAAATCATGCAGGATGTCCTGAATACCATCAAGCTGGAGCACAGTGAGATTAACAAGGCGTTCTTTCGCCAAGATAACGCAGGATGTTATCATTCGTCGTCCACCGTACTCTCATGCCCAGTGATATCCTCCTCCACCGGCATCGAAATCAAGCACATTGACTTTTCTGACCCACAGGGTGGAAAAGGTGCCGCAGACAGGCTCGCTGCAACCTGCAAGAATCACGTCAGGACTTTCATAAACGAATGAAATGACGTGACCAATGCCGAACAACTGAAGAGTGCTCTTCTTTCGCATGGGGGGATAGAAGGAGTTCGAGTTGCTGTCATGCAAAGTGTTGAAGAGGAAGCAGTAGTAGATGACAACAGAAAGATTATTGGTATCAACAAATTAAACAATTTCGAGTTTAAAGACGAAATTCTCGTAGCTTGGCGCGCTTATGGTATGGGAAAGGGAAAAGAGATCCCATTGGCAACAATATCAGAAGGTTAGTCTAATGAAAATTCACAATTCTTCCTTTTTTAGAATTATTTCATCGCGCAAATATATATTTTTTTATAGTTGAGTAAAAAGGTGTACGTTTATCGTTTGTTATAGCCTTCAGACGCATGAAAGGCATCCATTTCCCATCCTGGTACGCAAGAGGAGCGGGTGTCTGCCACCCCGTGGGGTTTCGCTTTGTAAAAGACTTAAGCCCCTTAGACCCTTTATAAATTTATAGTCCTTGATTTGTTGTACAAAATTTTTAAAACGAACATTGCAGAATATGGCGGTTCTGAAGAACATGTCCGGTCATAAGATGTAAAAAGCAAACGTTTCATCTGTTCGCGCAGCAAAGTGGACCAAAGGGGCACTCTTCACAGGCTGTGCAGAGTGAAGTATTGAAGTAGGTGAACAGTTCTTTTTATGTAAATCTTGTTTCTTTATGTGTTATCTACTTCAGAGCATGGCATTGGTTGGCTTTCATCTGAGTTTTCTTCTGGAGACTTTAAACCCCTTAGCCCAAAACCGACTCAGTCAAGGAAGAAGCAAGAGACGAAAGTGGAGCAGGTTCATGATCCCACTGACAATACAAATGAATCGTCATCCGTGTTTACCTGCCCTCAGGATGGGTGTGTTAAGGTCTTTCAAAGGCTGTCTTCTCTCGAAAAACACCTATCTTTAGAGAAATGCACCAAGTCTTTAAAAGAACGGTCTTTGTTAGACCTTGCCAAACTAGACTACAAGTCCAGGTTGGAGGAGGGCACGACCAGTCAAGTTATTTCGTTTGCGTCTTTTAGGGATGCAAGAGAGGCTACATCCGGCGAAGTAGAGGTAAAAGAAGGATGGGCGCTAAAGCCGAGCAAAAAAGCATATCGCTTTAACCAAAACCAGAGGGGTTATATAAATGCGAAGTTTACAATTGGTCAAACCAGCGGCAGAAAACTGGACGGTGATATCGTATCACGTGAAATGAGACGTGCACAAGGACCTGATGGTGTTCGTTTGTTCAAAGTATCCGAGTTTCTTACCCCGCAGCAGTGCACTTCATATTTCTCACGTCTTGCAGCGAAGGTCCGACGGCAAACATCCGACGATGCTGAAATCCAAGCTGTAGTAGAAGAGGAAAACTTTACCATAGCAAGAGAAATAATCCTATCCATCACGCTACAGCACCCCATCACTTACGATCAGTACGATATCGGTGCCATGGCCAAGGGAGGATCTCTGGAGCGACTTAAACTTGGAATGCTTCAAAAAATTTGTCAGCAACTAGAATTAGAAGTACCTCCCAAGCCTGTTCGCCGCAAAGCGCTCTACGTTGACCTGCTGAAATAAGCCGTCATTAATTGCACTTGCCAGCTCCGTGGGAAAAATATGTAGAAACAGAAAGTACTACCCTGCTCACAGACGTTCTTCTGTTTTGGGAATTTGGTGCGCGCACAAGATAAGCGATTGCTCGTGAGAGAGGGCGGAACGCGCTTTTTTTTTTATACGTGCACTCGACGATATCTAAAAATGAAGAGAGTCTGTGAACAGGCTAGTAAAGTACACAAATTGTAGAGTTTTGCCTAAACGGTGTTCTCACTTCTCCTCAGAGGCTTGCTTCCAGGAGTGAATCATTCACCATTTGTTCTCGCCGGAATAACTAAGTCAAGAAAAAAATCTATTTTGTTCATTGTTTTGCTTCCTTTACTAATTTTTGAAGTTTGTTTATGTTTAAAAGAGCGTTCCTTTTCGGAAAGTGAGATCATTTCTTGTTTGTCAGGGTGAGTCCTTGTTACAAAGCAGTCAGTTACCTTTCAGCTCGTGACTATTTGCACGTTATAAATGTCTCTTCCCGCTCTGACAAATCAATGACACCTTATCTTATAAATGTGAAGAGGTATTTTAGCCTGCATAACAGCCGCTTTATGAGCCAAGCGAGGCGAACGCAGCATTTTCTCGAAGCACGAAACGAGTGCGAAGCGCGAGACGAGGGATGGAGAAAAATAAAGCTTTATTTTTCTCCTCCCCTCGTCGCTTCTCGCGCTTCGAACAAAATGCCACTTTCGCCTCGCTTGGCTCATAAAGCGCCTTTTATGCAGGCTGGATGTATTTCTGCAAGTTCTTTGAGTTAACCAGAGATAACTTTGTTTATCTTCGCTAAACAACATTTCTAGAGGTCTCTAGAAAAAGCGTTACGTGCGAGAATGTGGAATTTTATAACACTCCACATCGCGTATTCAGCCCTGCGGAGTGGTTCTCTTTTTCTCGCGCTCGCGGCGTGAATTGGTCATAGTTAACTCAAAGATTATTATTAGCCTCAATAGGCTTTTCAACAATTTTGAAGAGGTCTGGAAGGTTTTAAGGATGCGATAAGCACGCGTAAGTTTGAAGTTGCGTTGTGGACAAGCTGTAAATGAAACTGAGAATTTCTAGTTACCTGGCTAGGGTTTCCTAGTTTCGGAGGAAAAATCATAAAAAAAAAAATCCAAAACAAAACTAAAGCAAGCTATAAAGTTGACTTTTATGCTTTTTTTTTTCTTTTTTTGCTGTAGGGATTATTGCAAGGTGGGAAATTCGGGAATAACGAACTTATTAAGGAAACATTTGTGTTTGAAATATTTTGGGAAATATTATACCACTCTGAATCAAAAACTGTGATGAATGTCTTTCACAGCCGGTCAGCAAATGCATGTGTCCAGACCAATACAAATATATAAATCAAATAAAGCAAGAAGGTCTGTTCTGTGAAAAGTTTATATATTTTTTTTACCAAAACAAAGGCCGAAAACAGAAGCTATTGAGTATTTCGTGACAGTTTGCTAACGTGACCTTGGCATGTAACCGATTTCTGGGTCAGTAGAGGTCATAAGACCTTGTGGTGGCTTGAAATCTTAACTAAACGAATTAAAAATCGAAGTCAACGGTCTCGAATGCATTTTAATTCTGCTTTTTCCCCCTGAAGAAAACTATTTTAAAATTGTGGTAACGGAGTTTCGTCAAGCGATGACAGCTTCAGTTCGAAGTTGCGATCTCAATGATTTCGCTGGTAGCAAAGTAGATAAACAATTTTCATTTTCATTTTTTGGCCGTCTAATTTGCATTAAGTTTATTAACTTAAATTCTCAAATTACTTACTCCAGTGTCAGGGCTGTATTTAATTTCCAGAGCTAAAACGTTCCTGTAATTTACTTCAATAACCAAGGCTTTATTCTATATGGGTTTTACTAGGAAGCGGCATATACCAGAGGGCTTTTACAACGGTTAAAGTTCGCTTTCATTTTCTAACATTTCAAGAGACACAAATACGACCTTTTTAAACTTGTCGATTGTAAATGTTAAAAACTTCTTTCTTCAAATTTTCTTTCAGGATTTTAAAGATTAGGAACGAAATAATACTCGGCTGAAGTTTCGATGTTAGGGATTGTTTCTTATGCGTTCACCGTTTTCTCGAAGTTGCGGTCGGATTCTATTGTTTTTAAGCGCGAAAAGACAGCAATAAAACGATTTTTCAAACTATTTGTTATTTCTCCCGTACAATGAATCGCTTGAACCCAAAACTATTTTTTCTTGAATTAGGTCACTAAAAGGGATGTTTTGGCAAAAGAAAAAAAAATTCAATTTTTTTACGAGTGTCTTGCGATTTTCGATTTTCTCGGAAAATGGCTCTTAAGACGTCATGGCTAATTGAAAAAATTCAGTACATGTCAGTGTAATCACTCCGTTTCGGACACATTCAGAAGAAAAAAAATTAGCGACCAAAAGCCCTCTCTTTGCTCACTCTGGAGTTTATACAATGAACATTGGCTGATTGTTGCTGCAAGTAACTGGAACTCATTTCGATCTCATTTCTCACGGTTAGACCACTAATCAAGCAAGTTCCACTCTGCTCGGCGTTTTAAGTAACTTCGATCCTTGTGTGCCGACCACAAAACCGTTTAAAGAAGAAGAAAAATAAGGTTTATAATGTCGCCTCCATTACAACATTAAGGCGCGCGCAGTGTCTTTTAGACAAAGACTCTGGCACTTGTCCACGAAAAGACGTTATTGGTTCGAATAAATTAAGTAGACAGAATGTTTTAGAGGCTTCCCTGTAAATGCGACAAAGTTAACATCGCCAAGACTGGAGGACCTACATACAGGAAAAAGCATAACAGAGACATTGGACGCGCTATGACGCGGACCTCCACCATTTCAGAGCACGCACATAACATCAGGCACTATACTCGCTCTGAAACTCATTACGAATTCTTGTCTTACATGCTCAGAGTAAAAGTTTCGCTACTCATAACAGTCGCCCAACAAGATCAAAATAGACAGAAGAACTAAAAAATCCCATAAGCAAACCTTGGTGCCCAGGATAAAAATTTATTACTAAGCTGTGCAACATTTTGAATAATCATAAACATTTTTAATCAACACTTCAAGAAGAAAACAAATTGCAATGTCCTGCTTTGCTGACTTTTCCGAAACATCGCTGCAATTTGGCTTGCTGGGTTTTTAATTCATAAAGGGCTTTAATTAAAACGCGCTTTAATTTTGCGTGGAATTCCGGCAAATATTCTTTTTCTCATGCATTGGCATCTATTGTATCGCCGTGAGGATATGTTCATCATAGATTTCATCATTTTTTTCCAGTGTGTTTTTTGGTCATACTTCAGGACATTTGAGTAAAGCTTACTAATGAAAACGACTTGATGCATCCCGAAATTAAGTCAGTCATAAATGTCTCTTTCTCTGGCGATAATTTCATTGAAAATGTTGTTTACATTAAGACATGCTTTTTCCATCCACAACATCCTTTACGGAAACACATTTCCACTTGTGTTGCTTATCATCAATGTCCATATATACACGTTTCAGATCGTGTATACACGTTACTACATGTACACTTACCGACCAGATAGAACGATACTGAGGAACGTGCATTTCGATTTACGGGTGTTTAACACTATTAGAAAAAAAATATAAGTTATCCAGTACAACAAATTCTACTGACATAGATTTTTGAGTCGAACTAAGATTAGCTTTAGCTAACTCACACGCTCTAAAAAGCTTAGTGCGAAATCTGAAACATACGGCAAAAGATTAACAGACAGTATTGCTAAATAATAACTTATTTTTAAGCCACTTAAGAGTTCTTCTCACAGTGTGCCCAAACATAAGGTCGAACGGCTGAATGCCAGAGACTGTTGTATTGCCTCGCGAGTAGCAAACAGTAGAAGATGGATACCCTCGTCTCAGTCTATCTTTCATTGCCTCTAATTTGTTGGAAATATCAGAGTCGTAACTACATGAAGGACGAAGTCTGAGAAACTGCGAAAAAGGAATGGAATTCTTGACGTGTAGTGGGTGCGAAGATGAATACAACAAGTAACCATGTGAGTCTGTAGGTTTATAGTAAACCCTTGTGGATAGACCGTTGCATTCAATTGAAAGTTTGATGAGAAAAAAAAGAAGTGTCAGAAATTTCCCAGTTATATTTCAGAGCCGGGCGAAAGGAATAAATAGCGGTTGTTAATTGAGTAAGCTCATCTCTGGCAGAGGAACTGGCACCGATATAGCCGCTGATGTAGCGACCTCAGAGTTCAGGTTTAGAGCCGTTGTATTGACTTAAAAATTGGTGTTCGATAAAACCTAAGAAACGATTGGCGTAGGTACCCAAATTACCTTGTTATTCTCTCCCACCGACGCAGCATCACAGTTTCTTTAGAGACGTACCCCCTTTATTCATTAAGAGTATTTTTTTCTTCTTCGTGTAGCCTTTGGGTTGGGGTTAGGGATTGATCAAACAGAAAGCAGAATGAATTGTAAAGCGAAATAAGAGGTGAACTTAAATCAATTTGTACTAGGGGAATTTTGATAGTTTCTATCTCTATCTAAAGCTGAATGCCAGCCATTTGATGGCTGCAGCGGTTACCGATTATTTTGTTTGTTGGTTATGTCTTATCTTGAGAGAACCGCAATCTATTCAAGTTACTCAAGACTAGCAGCGTAAATCTCGGAAGTTAGGCGACACCCCCACAGACGTGCAAGAGGAGAGGTTAGAGGCCCTCTTTAGGGTTCTCATTGTGATTGTTTATTTTGCGAGAGAATATTGATTGTTAACTGCTTACCACAGCTATTAAGGTATGGTTTAACCTGCAGAAAGAACACTCACGATACTCCTACAAACCCAAGTGCCTTATCAAACAACATGTAATATTCTTACCAAGGAGCGACTCCGAAATGCAGTACAGTAATCATCCTTTGTAAACTTACTTAGTCCCACCACAGACTACAACTTGGCTCAACAAAGACAAAATCTTTGCATGAGGGCTGGACTCGTGATGTCGTTTAGAAAGGTACAACGTTCGAGATTAATTGCTTAACGTAACATGTCTATTTATACCAAGTAAGCGTGTAAGGCAAAGATGATTGATCCCTGAAACTTGTGTGGGAGAGGTGCTCAAAATGTTAGCCAGTCATACACTGTGGACGTGTATCTAACTACACCATTAAATCTTCGACATTTGCATACAACTGCTTGTCGTACATTGTCATGTTGATCAGCTTCTGTAGAGAAAAGTAATTTAATAATCAGCATCATTAAAAAAGTGTTCCTCCTGCGTGATTAGCGGTTATCCTCACGAGTCGTCAGCTTTTCACACCAAAACAAATTCAAGGAGGAAGTGTTTTATAGCCTCGTCGTCTGCTTCTATTTGTGCGTCTCAATGCAGTTTTGCAATCATCCTATGATCTTTTAAATAACCACAAAGTGTCAATTGTCATTGAGACCTTCTAGTTCGCCTCCTTGCTGTTTTTCGTGGAGTGCTAGCTTCAGTGACATAACAAGAAGATACGATCCAAACTTCGTAAAATTGGGTACATATTATTACGCTATCTAGGTTCAATGCTGTTAAGTTTAACCCTAATAAGCTGAGCCTAAGCCAGTCGGTCCTTTGTGAAAAGAAACTTTCATGTTGATCAAAATTCTCACCTTGTGTAGGGTTTGCAAGTCGTTAAGCTGATTTTTCAATTCAGTGAAAGTTGGTCTTGCATCTGGGTCATTCTTCCAGCATTTCATCATGATCTGATACCTGGTATTGTTCAAATGATTTGCTAAAGATTTAAAGAACGTTTCCTTGTACGATAAGGGAGAACGAGTTAACAAAGAAAACTTACAATTTTTCATCGACGTGTTGTGGTTTTGGCATCCTGTATCCATCCTGAAGCAAGTTTGCAATTTTTCTTCCATCCATTCGTGGGTAAGGTGAACCGCCTGGAAGAACCACAAGACCATCGAAATATGAATGTGACGAAACAATGACCTCCACTGAAACACCATCTGAGTCACTCGATGGAGTTTAAGGTTGCATGGGGAAGCCCATTACGTTTGTCTAACTGAACACGATACCTTGTAAATATACAGCAAAAAAAACAACAACAACAACAACAACAAACAAAACAAATAAACATATCCTCATAAATTTCCATTCGATGTTACCTATGGTGAAAATCTCGTACAGCAAAACTCCATAACTCCATCTGCAGAATGACAAATCAAACAAATGTAGATTAGGTGACTGAAGACATCAACATTATATACGACAACTAAAATATATGTATTCTTTGACAAAGCATAGAATTCATGTCCTGATTAAAAATTGATAAAACTTATTGGAAATTTGCTAAGGGTAGTAATCGGGTATACTTACACGTCACTTTTGGTGGTATATTTACCATACAACAAGGCCTCATAAGCTGTCCACTTCACGGGAAGACGGCCCTAAAGATTTTAAATATCACTTTGTGAAACAGCTCAAAAATTATAGGAAGCGACTGGTCAAAGACAGTGATATTTAAAATTTTACTCGCATACGCATGGCTAGTTTTTTCATTAGGGTCCCATCCAAGATTTCATGATCAAAATCAGGAATATATCAGCATAACAACAACAATAATTGTGAAAGATCAGTAAACTGAACGATATGTGGTACCGCCCCCACCTCCCCTCTTTCTTGATTACCTTAGTCTTTCGTTCATAAATATTTTCCTGCTGCACATCTCTGGCCATTCCGAAATCTGTCACTTTACACGTTTCCTTTTGTCCAACTAACACATTACGGGCCGCAAGGTCTCGGTGAATGATCTAAGAAAGAATTGGTGCAACAGCAAAAATTAGCGACCGCAGAAGAAAAAGAACTGAAATGAAATGGTTCAGGTAGGAAAATAGAAATTTCTAGCAACATAATATGGTGTGCGTATTTCTCTTTCTTCCAGAGGGCAGAAAATTAAATTTATTATAATTACTGCGTCATATTCCCGAGAGAAGCAACTACTTTATTTCTGCAATACGTAGTCATTTCATACAACGCCCATTTTGTAATCTGGCAGTTTAGCGACTAAAGACGAATCTTTAAATTTCAAGTTTTCATTCCTTTTCTTTCTTGTCACTGAATTGCAAATTTGTTGTAGACTTAGTTTACGCTGAATATCTTTAAAAAGATCCTATTCATTCACGTCTCTGCCTTTGCGTACACGAGAAAAACCCAGATATTTTATTTCAATGGGGTGCATTTGCAACGATGCACAAATATCGCCATTCACACTTTGAGGTAAAACTTAGATGATGACGTCAAGATTGTGAGGGTTCCCAGCCCTACAAAAAATAGCGTCAACAAGACGGTAAGAATACGTTTGCTTCTCCCGGGCGTGATCTTGTGAAGACACAATTAACTTACAGATTTTGAGGACAAGTAACTCATTCCATCAGCAATTTGCCATGCAAACTTCATCAGCTGCTGTGATGTCAGATTTGTTTGTGGTTTAACATCCGGGTCTTTGTAGTAAGTGTCTTTTAATCCACGGCTCTTTCTCAGGTAACCCAGCAGATCCCCAAAGGGCACATATTCAATCAAAACCAACAGCTGTTCTGAAGAAATTAAGCAATTTAATTGATATATCTCTCTCTCAGATAAAATAAGCAATAAATAAAATAAATAAATAGCCCAGTCAAGGTTAAAACTGTTGAAGAAATCGCACGAGAACAAGATGTAGTTTTACAAAGAAAAGCTGAAAAACCATGTAACGGTCTCATAGGAAGGTACAGACCAAATATTCTCTTACAAAACGCGTTTCTAGTTATACAACAAAATGGTCTGTCCAGAGGCAAATATTTGGTCTTAGTCTATCAGTAAATCCAGGACCGTCTATACTGGCTAAAGAAAGATAAAATTACCTTATGCGATGGTTTTTATTATGCTTAATTGTGAAGCAGTGACTCTTCATTGAAGCAAATTATCAATGGCGAGAAAGCGTTAAAGGGTAAATCATAAGCAAACTGGGTACAACAAAATAAACCCGCATAACCAAAGCATACCAGATTCTGTAACACATCCAAGAAGTTTAATGACGTAAGGATGTGGTTTCAGCTGCTTCATTGTGTCAAGTTCTTCCATCAAATCTCTCTTGTCCGATTCAGCAGCGTTTGCTGGAGCGTTAAAAACAAGGAGTAGAATTTGATTAAAGGGAAGATTATGCGAAATGCCAAAATAATAACATACGTTATGAAATGGAAAATAACTAAGAAAAATACGGTGACCCAGTAACATTTCCTGAATGGCTGTAGGCCAAGACTGTCATTCAATTTATGGTAAGAAAAGCTCACCTTTCAGCATTTTAATAGCCACTGTGGTCGTTTCAGGACTCCCTCGAAGTCCTTCTGCTGTTCCCTTAGCAACCTGACCAAAAGCACCTTTACCAATGATTTTTTCTATGGCCACGTGATGTCTTGGAACTTCCCAGGAGCGTGTTAACGGATGAAGAGGCACATAATCAGCACCTGGAGCTGTTCTTTGTGCTTTTCTATTATCTTTGTTGACTTCTATGAGATCCATGTATTCCGCAGGAGGCTGGGTGAGTTTTCTTGAATCGGGTAGACTTGGTTCATTATCTAATCCTGTTTCATTCTATTAAACCAACACACAGTTAAGGTATTCATATACAAATCTGTTATTAATCCCAGTAAAAAGTTCCACATGGTTACAAAAATCAGTTCACCCATTTCCATCAGACAAACCTTTACATTCTTGCATAACAAAAGTAGCAAATAGTTTATAATCTATGTTGTCCTTATTATTACCAACATTTTCAGTGACCTTTGCTCCAATGGAGTTATCGAGGTTCGAGGTTCATAGCATATTTGCCGAAGCTACAAACTGCAACATGAAGATTGTCGATTGGTGGTGCAATTTTTTGACATACACGTACAAAAAGAACTCTTGCTGTACTCAGCTCTCAGACTAACGTTTAGAAAATAAGGCCTTAAGAAAATAAGACGACCAAAAATGCGCGAAAACAATTATTTATAAAGTAAATATCAACCGGGTGCAGACCAGTTAGCGATCTATGAGGTGAAGCCACGTATTTGAACCAGGAAAAATCGAAGGAAAATCTATGGAGTAGCTTGGTAAAGGACATGATCACAGGATAAAGACCTTCTCGAGTCTAACTTGCTCCCCTATTTCATTGTATCTTCCATGAATGCAATACGCTTTTTTTTTGTAGAACTATACTTTTTTCCCTTCTTATTTGTTGCATGCGTTTATTTTCCTGTAGAAAGTAAATGTTATGTGAGATTACATAATTTCTGGCCACACTAACATAACCTCAATGTTTTTGCTGTTACTTACGTCATAAACACCTCTTTCATCTTCATAAGTCCTACAATTAAGAAAGCAAACGAATATTTATAAAAAGCTGAGAATTTTATCAGCTTTAAGTAAAATTTTTGTGTTAAGGTGAAACCATATCTGGCACATTACATCGACACAATCCAAGTGGCAGCAAATTCTTACCTCTGTTTCCCTACAGCGCCTGAAAAAGAACGAAAGGAAAAAAAGACAAATGATGGGGATGTGGGTCAAAATTTGCTTTTGTATAAAAATGAATCTTTCAGCCAAACCCTCTAACATAGATTATGATTTTTTACCTACCTTTCTTATGTAGCCAGATTATGTAAATAATTAGAAGAAGGACTGTGAAGGCAAGAACCCCAATTATGGCCAACAAGACGTTATTTGATGGGCAGTTACATTCCTCAGGACCTAAAATGATTAATTTTACAAACCTTGATCAAGTAACATTCAAACAACATTCACACTGATCCTGGCCGATAAACTACTCTCACTACATAGCTTAGGCTAAGGACCGAAAACTAACTCTCATTGGCTAGGTACTAAAGAAAAGTAAGGTGCTAATCTTTCGATAATGATTTCTAAAAGTAACGGATTTTGTTTAATTGACTAAAAACAGCAACAAGGACAAAAACAAAAACCTGGAAATATGTCACTCACAGGAATAGGTTGTTAATTAAACAGATACGGAATACAATTAGAAAAAGTCCGTTCTCGGAAGAAAACGTGTAAACATTTAACAATTTGACATGATTTAATGCTACTCTGGTTTAAAGATTCATTGCATAGCCCATTTTACAGCTGTGTACTTAGTTGCCAAGCCTTTGATTTGGGGTCAGGCTGAAGTTGACCATGTTGTGATAAAGACCAGTATCTAGTTAGTATGATAACAAAGTCATTTACATTTCAAAAGCAGCATGGTTTTTTATCATAACAAGGTCATCTTCAGCTTCACTCCTGTTCAAAGGCTAGGCAAACAAGCACGTAACTGTAAAATGGACTGAAAGTAACCGAATTACAATTCAAAGACCCACCGTTTCAACACTTCTGTCTAGTGCCTTTATCAGGGGTGATCGAATCTTTGCACAAAGAGGTCATTTTACACGCTCACTAATTAGCTGCTCTTTTTTCTGAGTAGGTGTAAATATGCGTCAGGCAGTAAGCCGCCATCATTACGATTTAACGGAGCGTGGGCAGAGTTGATATGCCAGGCTTCCAAACAAAGGCGCTGGTGGTAACATCGATAAGAGGTGATAATTTTAGAATTGTCCCACCCAATTGATGGTTAATTAGGCATGTATGCTGCGACAAAGCTGAATTTTCTTTTTCACAAGAGGAGACCGCTCTTTGATGCTCTTTTAAACGTGTACCAAAGTGACGTTTGGTCTGTCCGATATACTTGTGATCACAGCCATTACACGGAATAGAATAAAAACCGTCGGTTAGTTGTTCATTTGTGATAGGATCCTTAGGTTTGGCAAAAATATGCTCTAAGGTCTGAAAAGGTTTTTGAGCAACATAAACGTTGTGGCTATTCAAAATTTTCTTGATGGGTTCTGTAACACCATGAACGTAAGTAATAACGGCAAAACCAGTCGCTGGCTCCTTCTCATCAGGAGTATTATTAGTTGTAACTTCATTCATTAAATCTTATAACATAGCTAGTAAATTTGTCTAATCAAATTCAATTGCGTGAGCGTGCTTCATATTCCTATTGGGCACACTCATGACGTCAGCAAACAAATCTCTTTGAGAAAAAAATTTGAAAATGTTATAAAACAATTGTTTCATACGTCAGCTGTGCGTTCATCTAGATATGAAGCACTTGGGAAGTTTGAAGAGCACTCAAGAAGCTAGAGCAACTCCTACACATCTTTCGTGCTCTCCAAACTTCCCGCGTGCTTCATATCTCGATGAACACACGCTGACGTATGAACCAATTGTTAATTGAAACCAGAGTAGCATTAAACCATGTCTGATTATGCACCTGGTTGCTTTGTGACATTTAAGTCATTTAACAATTTCTTTGTTATTCTTACATTTTGTTGCGCTTTCCGAGCCGTCTGTGGGGATAAAAACTCTATTTTAGAGCTGAATGAAAGTAAATGACAGTGGTTAAAAACAACAGAGTTCCTCTCTGGTGGAAAAAGTAGTGTAGATACAGAGATCAACGTAGCGACCCCGGAGTCCAACTCCCCTGTTTACGCCTGATGGATGGCTCTGTCTCTTTGCAATGCGTTTGCATGTCAAGGGTCGCTTCCCTGTCATTATAAATAAGTCCCCTATAGGACTGTAATTTCTGAATTTGATATTAATCACACAGCCATCGGCTGTGAGTGTAACTGCTGCCGTTTAATTATTATTATTTAATTAACTTGTTAACTGAAATGTAGTAAAATGCACTGCAAAACATTTTCTCGTACATCAGCTTATAGGCCCCTAGTTGGCGCACAAACATCAACTGCGACTTAAGTGAAATTTTTCACATTGATTCAGGTTTCTGCAAGCGAAGAATTCACTCGTAAATACCTCGATATTGATGAGACGGAGAGGGCATGAAAACTAAGAAAAGAAAAGGATAAACCTTTAAAAGGGGAAAATAATATTCATTTGAACATACTTCCTTCTGCCTTGACTTGTTGGATATTTGCTTTCTCTTGTTTCAGGCTTTCACCAAGCTCATTAGTTGCAGTAATGGCAAACTGATACACCTTTCCTCTCTCCAACGCTATTTTCAATTTTCTCACAGAAACATCTCTGATTTTCTTTATTTCTGTCCACTGTCCCACTTTTCCATCAGTCACTACTCTTTGGTACACTGTATACATGGTAATAACTTTTCCATTACTTTCTGGCTCCTTCCACTTTAGGGTAATTGTATCGTCTGTTGTTTCACCTGGCAGTTCGTCTATTTCGACCACGTCTGGGACTCCTAGGTTGATGTCAACAACACGAACAGGGTGAAATTTCTTATAACTTGTTGTAGCCTAAGACAAGTCTGCATTTACAAGGTGAATTTGAATGATATATTGACCTCTACTCGCATTGCTACTTACATATGATCAAATGAAGGACCAATGCATTGACGACGTTGCAATTCGCCATTCATTTGTGGCATGTAATTACAGAAAGGAACTCGCTTTGTGTGCAACTATTTTCTGCTTTTCAAAGTTTGACATTGCGCATGACTTAGTACATGCACTCGGCAATGACACAGCGTAAAACTGAATGCACATGCTCCGCTTCCCAAGCCATTTGATTGTCCAGGGCTACGACTCTTCTTCTGCAAACATAAGCTTACGCGGGTTTTTCCGTTGAGACAACAAGCTTTTTTCTACAGGGAGTTTGCCAACTGAGGAGGCGATGACAAGAAGCGCTAAAGCGATAACAGGTGCGACGAACTTCGTAGCCATATTACGGCTGCTCAGCTTCAGTTACTAAATTCATACTTGTTACCATAATACTTTTTTGGTTGAGTGATTCGAAAAAAACTCTCCTGAAAACGGCAACCTTAATTGTTTTGGTTTGGGCTTATCCCTGCGAAATGAAAACAAGCTATGTGAATTTTAAACCGCCGCCATTTTCCCTCGATAGACACTATAATTTATACTGAGGAGTATAATTTTACTGAAGGTATTACTAACTGGAATTGGCTCTTGAACTGCTGATTTGTAAGTCTGTAACATAGTTTGGAAACAAAATCGTTATAAACAAACCTAGCGTTAACACAAGAAGTACTACATGTGTAAAAATATGGAATGTTTTTCGAAGAAAGTGTCCAGAAGTGCGCACAAAATGTCAATAAATTAGTAACAAATCCTGATAGCTATTTGACCCATGGAGGTTTTATTCTTTTTAAGCACTTTGAGTATAGCTGGTCAGTATTTAAGGAAACGATATCCATCCACCTTAATAATAAGCAGGAGGAATAATTTCGTGATTTGGCCTTTTAAATAGCTATCTCAAACTTTCTTCGTGCGTCATAATTTTTTTTGCGCTCTACTTTTCTCATCTTAAAGAAAATATACGGAGGACTCTTCGAGGCCGTCCACAAACTGTTTGACGAGATTTAACCATAATATTAGCATATTAAAAGAGATTTTCATGAAAGACCATTTCTTCAAACTTCAGTTCTTGGTCAACCGATGTGTGAAAATCTTCTCACTGACTAAAGAGAAGTTGGTTGTTGGGTGTTCCAAACATAGCCGGTAGGAGTTTAGAAAAACTTTATCCAACCAAATATCTAGCGGCCGTTGTCGTTGTTTATTTACACCAATAGGTTATGAAACGTGAACATCAAAAACTGAAAAAAAAAAAAAAAAAAAAAGGCAAGCAATACTTGGTAAAACGTTTAGCATTTACGAAATGTAGCCGCGTAGGTTGTTCTCACCTATGTTCACCTGTGGTTTATTTATTATTATGCTTCTTCAAACGTAGGTACCTCTCAAAGAACTGTTAGAAAGGGAAAGGAAACTCGCTAAGGAGGAGACAAACACCTAAAATCAAAAATCTTATAATGTGGCAAGCAGATAACATTGTTAAAACTGGGACAAATCTACGTTTGCAGCAAAATGATTAGTGCAAAGTGCTCAGTAACGAAATCACTTGTGATTCCTCACCTTCAAACTTGGTCTTAATTGTCCTTACAGTAGGATCTCCCTCGAATATGAAATTTCTGGAAAACAGTTTCACCGTGTAGTTGGTATTTTTCTCCAAACCACGAAACAAATAGGTTGTCGTCCCAGGATCGGTGATATCATCCTTTTCTATCTCAGTTTCACCCTTTTGTAAGATCATTCGGTATCCTGTAATCGGACTTCCTCCATCATCAGCTGGTGCAGTCCATCTTATTGTTATAAAAGTTGCTTGAATTAATGATTCAGATGATTTGATTGATGCTTTCCCTGGTTTCTCTACATAGTGCCATAAAAAAATCATTTTACGAAAAAAAAAAAAAAAAAAAAAAAAGGAAGGAGAAAGTTTTTGGGTGATTACCACAAAGAATGTCATTGGATTATCACAATTTAATTTACATGTGGCTACCAGATAAATTCAACCAAGAGCCTGATAAAAAGAGGAACAATTAAGAGTCCATGGTGGAGGAAGTTTCCTGTGGACACACGCATGGGAGGATGTCAAAAAGGGCAAGGTGTCGACAGTTTACTGTAAATCCTATTTTTTTAAATTATGGGTGCATTTTCCACCAAGTGATCAGGCTGACTATATCTGGCATAATTCCACTAATGGGCCTTTCAGTATGCCTCATTGAGGTAACGAACGCAAAAATTTGTGAAGGTCTAATGCTGTTATAGAGGGGAAAAATTGCGAACGGAACGCTCAGATAAGGCCACATAGGATGAACGTCGAAATCTCAGCGGTCAAATTGTTAGAAAATGAAAAAATAGTAGAATGATAGATCTCTTATTCGATGGTTGAACATAAGCTTAAATTTTTCCACACACCTATGGGTCTCGCAAATTATCCGCACGTATTATACTTTACATAATCGAATGAGTTGTACGAAGGGAATGAGTTACCTTGTCGAGTACTTTGTAAGAAAATTTGGCTTTTACTTCTAATACACCTGAAACAGTGATAATGAGCAAAATTCGGACCCTATATATAGTTTTCTTCATATCGAAATACACTGATCTTTTTTACATACTTATCTGATTTATCTTTATTAATTTCCCATCAGATGGAATAAGTCCATTGGCAGCAATGCACATGTAATGACCAAAATCTTGATCATCCCCGAGTGGCACTTTTACTTTGTTTTCTCTGGCCCTGATTCTGTTTATTTCACTTCCTTCAGGTTTGTACCAAGAGAGTGTTGGTGTAGGAACACCATCAGAAAGACACTTCAAAGTCACTGTCTGGCCAATCCAAGACTTCTTAGATGACGTAGTGACATTTTGAATTGTGGGCGGGTCTAAGAAAAAATACCAATGCAATAAGCGATTTAATAAATAATTGGCGATACTTCATATCAATCAGAATATTTGTGAGCTTTATCGTCCCTCCACTGTGTCATTTTACTAAATGAAGTTATGAGAACAGGAAAAATATGCCACAGTATTACTCTTTAGAACAAGGCAAAAATACGCAGCAACATTTGTCGCACTGAACGATCCAAACTTTAACTTTTTTGTTTCAGCCGTTTTGCCGGCTGGGCATTATTTTTAAGCAAAGATGTGGGTCACGACCTCAAGCCGATAAATAACTTATTAATCCTTTCTTTTCCTTCTCTCTCCTGAATTGCTTTAAACGCCAGCAAAATATTGGTTTAGAAATGAATTTTTAGTAGAGAAATTGTGTCATTAAATGGGTTGACTCGCGGCCTAAAAACCGTTCGTAATTAATTTCAAGCCTTCACAAAAAGTAACTCAGAAAGTTAATTAATTTATTTCATTGATTCAATAGCAGAGGGCGGGAAACGCGTAGCGAAGCCCATACCTATAAAAAACAGTATTAATAACAATAACTCATCAAGCCGGAAATATTTGATTGTCCGACCAAAACAGGGTAAGGTATGAATAGCCATTACGTAAGTATCGGGGAAACAGAGAAAGTAATGCGCACGTGCGATCGAGTGCGTAACTCAGAAAATCCCATTTATTTGGATTCGTGTGCACTACAAAACTCAAGTAAAAAGTAGGGTTATTTAGTATTTTCAAGTGAGTTACAAAGAGTTTCAAGTGTTAGCCCTTTGCTCTGTCGAAGAGCTAACGTTAGATACGTCAGCTTTTTAACTCTTTACAGTGGTCAATTTACGTTATCTAGCGCGTGAACACCCTTTGGTTGGAGGGTGGTTGAAAGTCCAAATCAGCAGGCCTAGGAGAGGCTGCAAAAACCTGGAGATTAGGTTTTCAATGTCCACCTTCCAGCCAACCTAACTGAAAAAAATGCAGGGGGCTTAACTACAAGGATAGCGCTTACATGCAGCCTAGCCCCAACCCTATTCTACCACTAATTTCGGGAGATAAAAATGAATTGAATTTTACTCAAAAACTCATTCTTAGTTTTAACTGAGTGGTTCCGCTTAATGCAACCGTTCATTACAGGTGGAAGACAGTACAATCACTCACTGAAAGGTGACCACGACCACTTAATAGAGGTGACAACTAAAAAAAAGTGAAAATAACAGCGATTAAGGAGAAAAAAATTGGGAACTTTGACAACTGACCACTAAATACAGGGTGACCGCTTAATATGGCGCTTCTTAATATAGGTTCGACTGTATTATTGACTCAGCTGCAGGGGCAGCTTTGAACGACATACCGAAAAAAGACTTACATTGCACAGTGACATAAACTCTTACTGTCTTTTCCTGTCCGACTCCATTGCTTGCAATGCAAACATATTCTCCTGCATCTTTCCTTTTACTACTGGGGATGTTCAGCTGTTTGTTGTGGGACAAATTAATCCCACATTTTTCCCATCTTATCTTAGGTTGAGGAAAACCAGAAGCATCACAACTCAAAAACAGAGGAGTGGACGTATGAACTGTTACATTCTGTGGCACTTCTGTAAACTGGACAGCAACTAGGCAAGAAGAGAGGAACAACAAAATTTCCAGACCATAATATTAGAGTGCGATTTGGTTTAAAATCATCCACTTCATACGCTGTAGGGATAAGATTATAAAATGTAGCTCATACATAAAAAAATATCAAAAAAGGAAACAAACGTTCACTACGTCAGCCAATCAGAATTTGCATCAGTTTTAAAATACTCTAGTGAAAAGCATAAGTCACGGCCTTTGGCGGACACAGGATAATTGCTTTAGAACAATGTCATAGTTTTTTTTTTTAAATAAAAAAAAACAAAATCAGACCTAAGATTAATCTCAAACTTGTAACTAAATTTGAGGTATTCTGCTACACAATTAAATGTACCACCTTGCTAAGGCTTCCAAAAAAAAACTACATAAACTTTCAGACTTCTTATGTCTGACGACAATCTAAGGTAACCATGGGTTGCCATTTCCACCAAATTATTGTTTTGTTTCTATTATGCACTTGTAAATCATTATCAGGCTTGTTTCCTTAACACTTTTCACAAGTTCATCATAATTAGGCATTGGTTTTTATCATTAGGCACCTGTTTATCATTGTTAGGGACCAGTTCATCATTATTAGGCACCTGTCCAGCATTATTAGGCACAAGTCCATCATTATAAGGCACCAGTTCATTGTCATCAGGCACAACTTTTGCTATTAGGCACCCATTCATCATTAAGCACTGGTTAAATTTCACCAGCACTTTTCCCAACTACCTTGGGAAGGAGCATTGTGTGGCAAGCTGAGTGATGCCTTCGAGGGAGACACCTCTTCAGCTGGAGAGCAATGCAAAGATGTCTGTAAAGCCACACAACATTTGCCTCGTCCCCAGACTTTTTTTCTCCTTCCCCTCACCCACCTCAGACTCTGTGGTCATTCCCATTACTCCCAGGAAAAGCCTGTGGGGGGGAGCAACCCGAATACCAAGGTCTCATTTTAACGCAATGTAAGGTGGTAAAAAACGTTTTGTTTTGGATTACAATTCCAAAGTACTCAAAAATGCTCAAAGATGTTTCTACCAACCATTTATGTTAAGTCTCACAGTGGCTTCTGCTCCATCTCCAGCGTCATTATGTGGGATACATTTGTACTCGCCATAGTGCTGAGATCGATTGGCATTAATGAGAGTATACTCATTGTTGCTGTTCTCACTTAGGAGGTGGCCATTGAAATAGAACTTGTAAATTGACACTTGAGGCAGAGCAGCCATAACTTTGCAATTGAATGTAACTGTGTCTCCTTCAGTGACAGTATTTTTTGAAACATTGGTAGTGAGCCTTGCACCTTCGGGTTTGTCTAAAAGTGTAAATCAAATCAAAATCTTAATCCCAGTTTATTTCATGGCTCATACATTCCCCCTGGTTATAAATCAAAACCTCTTGTAAAAGTGTAGAGGGTGCATGATAATGCAACAAGGATGGGTTAATCGTCTGTGGGTTAATTTAGTTTCAATCCATGGAGTGCCTTGGTCAGAAAATATAACGCTTTTGTGGTGGAAAATTGCAGCAAGTCATCCACCAATAGTTGGAATGCTGACTAAAAGCAAAATACTTTAACTCACACATTGCACGCTAAAAAAACAATGGCATTACTGCAGCGAGAAAAATAACACCAACTGTGTCGCTACCAGGAGAGTTATTTTAAATCCCCTGTTAACTACGATGAGCAATTTGTGACGGCCAACTTTACTTGTTACCAGACATAAAACCGTCAAAAACTAAGGTCAAAATATACTTACAGTAAACTATAATTGTTGTGTCAATGGAAGTGACTTCCAACGAGTTATTGGCTCGACATGTATATTGTCCTGCATCCATTCTGTTTATATTATTAAACCTTAACAACGCAGCTTTCTGCCCTGAACTTTCCAATACTCCATTTCTAATCCATGCTACATGCGGCAGTGGTTTCCCAGAAGCTTTACAGGCTATGGTAACAGGGGATCCTTCAATGTAATATTTTCCTACCAAAGAGATGTTTATAAGTGGTGCCTCTGAAAGGTAAAAGAGATTATAACATTACTCATATGGTTTGGCAAATCTTACATGGACTGCGTCTTAAAATTACTAATTACAATAAAATAAACAAAAGTATCCAGCAATTGGTCCCCTACAACCAATTACTGGTAGTATAAGGAGGCTTAAACTTCATTCAGGACAAGTTAACCTGTTGCCGCTAGCTACCGGAGAACTTGCTCTCAAGCTTAATTGCAAAGCGGAGCCCCTGCTTAGGAGGTTAAGGGCTAATTCAGGAAGTCATTCATTGGGCTATGGACTCTGGCTTCTAAGCTACTCCCACTTTTTTGGATAAAATTTTTGTTGCTGCCCAAACAAATAAGAACAAAGCCAATCAAGCTACACCTCACTTGGAACTTGGCCTGACAAAGGATCTACTGAAGACATCCTCAACCCAGAGAACTGAAATTGTGATGAAATAGAAACTATGGATTCCTTAGGATAAGAAGAACACACCAGTGACATGCTGAATGCGATTGCTCCTTGCACTGGTTGTTCCTTCATCAAACATAAAATAATTTGATTGCTCACCATAATTGTTCTGCAGAGGGAGTTTGCAGAAGGGAGAGTTTCGGGTAAAAGGTTCTTAAGCCCAAGTCAAATACAAAGAACACAAATTACTTTTCTGCATTAAGAATGGACTGTACGGAGACCACTTTTAGCAATTTGTGGTAAGACTAATATTATTAAACGTTTTGCTATTTCGCAATAGAGAAGTTATCAGTCAGCAAATCAAACAAATCCTCATTCTATAGAGGACATTATCTTTTCAATGAAGCAGCATCATTCCATCAGAGCTCTGGGAATGCATGTAACCCCCTTAAAGAGGAGAGCTACATTTCAATACAATCGTGAAAAAGTGTTCCAAATACCACTGGTAAGGTAATTTTAATTGGTTCTTAAAACTAAAGTGAAATCAGTCAGGGCCGTAGCCAATATGAGGCAAACAGAGGCACTTGCTAGAAAATAAATAAACAAACAAACAAACAATTAAATTTTTATATAACATGATCCAGTCTTAGTTTTGGTGAAAACACAAAACAGGTAGTGCCCAGAATGTTAGGAGAGAAATACATGTACTTGAGAGCAAAAAGACGACTTAAACCTATGCTAAGTAGTTCCCTAGTAATAACTGACATAAGCTTCGAGCTTGTATAACATTAACAGAGAAACTGTCTTCGAGACCATCAAGAGGCGCAGATGTTAATCAAGAAAATACAGAAGATGGGGAGAAAGAAGTTTTAGAGGCACTATTTAATTCATATTCGTACTGAGAGTAATATTCTTTGTTGCAAACTAGAGGTTTGAGTAAGAAATGCAAAAAATACCTTTTTCTTTGTCCCATACTCGTGACAAAACGAGTTTTCCATTTCTTTACCAAGCTCAAAAACCTACCATCTTTCTTATTCTATTTACAAACATGAGCCTGTCGACATCGCTGATCCTATAGGTATGCAGGACACTTGTCATATATGAAATTCATAGCGGTAGAGCATCAGAGCGCGGAATTTAAAGGTCTGAGGTCCGAATCCTCATGAGGACTCACAATTGTTTCTTTGTCCCACGCTCGTGGCAAGACGAAAAACATCTTTCTTTATTTTTTTACTGAGCTCAAAACTTACTACATTCCTCATTCTATTTATTTCAGAATTATTTGGACTTTTGTTTAGATTTATAATTGCCTATACTCAAGAATTAAGGGTGCTAGCGGTGAAACATCTCTAAAAATCTGTTGGGTATAAGAGCCTTAAGAGAGTTACATGGCAAAACGAGTTTCATCTTGTGTTAGTTTATGCTAACTTGATCTATCCCAAAATCAAAAACGTGTAGCTTTCTTACAAAAAATGCAGTTTTCATGCAAAACAAGCTAATGCTTCATTAAATTATAATTATAGGATAAACCACCCTTTCAATCATATACAATGATAGCTAAATGCTCTCAGTGCTAGATATCACAAGCTGCATTCTCTTAGAAGACCATTATCATGTCTTAGGCCTTATAAATGTGTGCAAACAGCTACCTTCTTTAAAGATTTTTGAAATTGGAGCTATCAGTTTTTTCCGAGTCCATAATAGACATCGTAACCGACTAGAATCTTTTAAAATTAGCGGTGACAACAGCAAATTGGGGGATCTATTAGACTGAAACAACAATAAAATCACAAGTTACAGTACTCTTTGTTCGCTAATGGCCATTCCATTTCTGTGTCAGATTTTCATCTTCAAGCTGCCAACAATAACAAGGTTTAGACAGTGGCTGGAACAGTACCCTCATTGTTCCTTGATGGGTTTCGATAGTTTGATCGGTAAGAATTTCCCACTTTTCTTTCTCAGTAAGTTTCGTTATTTCATCGTCCTTTAACTGTTTCCTTTCCAAGGTTCCAAGGTCAAGTGACTCTTAATAGAGAAAAAAACGGGTCTTTGTGGACAATTTTAATTTAAATCAAAATATTTTTGTTGAATTAGGGTGTTACACAACAGCTCAATTTCATTTAGTTTTGGGACATAATGCATTCTGGAAGTCTTACGGTGCTTCACTCTTTGAATATTTCAGCCCATAGAGTGATATCTGCACATTTACAATTGCTGATCCAAAACTTTGAAGGAAAGATAGTGAGAATAAAATTTCCAATTCTTAACCCTGTGGCTATTTTTCATTTACCTGGCATCTTGCACGTAAGCGTAGAACTGTCTAGCCCACAACCTATACCAGATCTCCACCAAGATTACACTGAGTTATCGCCTTACACTGCCGATATTTCTATGCAAGCGCAGCTATGGTTAAAGTACATTTACATAAGGTGAATTAGTTCAAAATACCGCTTAAAGTAGAAGTCAAAGCCTAACGAGAAAATTGATCAACTATTATCAACTAAGAAACTAGGAGACCAGAAGAAGGCCGAAGTCCTTCAAATTGTGCTAAAATGTTCCCCCTATCAAAAGGAACAAAATGATTCTTAACTGTCTTCAAATGACAGAAACCGTGGAGAGCCTCATTTATGTCATTGATGACATCAGCAGCAAAGTAGCAGAAACCTTAGGATGTATGCCAAATTTAAGTGCTTTAACGGGTTAAATGATACCAACATGGAAGACCCTATGCCAGCTAGAAAAAAGCATTTAATCTCTTGATGATGAATTGTAAAATGTTCAGAGAAATGCGCGCGCCCTGATTGGTCAGAACGAGTTCATTATACTTCCATAAAGCACGCGCCTTACGTCACACGAGTGCACTGTTGAGATATAATGCAGGCAGTGTACGTCATCGGTACGAGCGCGCACAATTCACGATACATTCTATAAAAGTAAAAAAAAACTTGTTCCTTGAGCATTGTTGAGTTATATAGGCACTTAAGAATTTTTAGGAACACTCGAGAAGTGCTAGTAGCACTCGCTTTTGGCTAGTGCTTCTCCGCACTTCTCCCGTGGACGTAAAATTTCCCACGTGCTCATATAACTCAACAATGCACTCGGCGCTTTTTTTATTTCTTTAATATAGTCAGGAAAAAGATGAAGTTTTTTTGAAACCCAATACCGAAAAGATCATGATGAACACCCTTAGTCAAAATCTGCAAAACTTATTTGATAGCGCATGGAACATCTTGGCTAGAGGTTAGCAGACAAGAGAAAACTAGTGAATGAAAAGCTGTCAAACAGATCAAACGAGAATCTAAGTTACTAACACACTTCTCCAAAACAATATCTTGTTACATAATAGACTCCATTTTTTATTTCAACTTTTGTCCAAACACAATCTACATGTAAATCACAACCAGCATTTTGGTAGAGAAGAAAGGAGAGAGACTACCTATCACATCATCTAGGGGCCTTTGGTTCTCTGTGATGTGCACATGGCTTTCCACGATCGCTAATCGAATATTTATAAATTTTCCTTTTTCCATTTGTTTTTAATTTTTGAAATAAAATGTTGAACAATACAATACAGATATATCTATACTTGCAAATGATATACGTCAGGGAACGCAATTAACCAGATGTCAGAAAGCTTCACTTCATTCGGAAATTTCGGTTTTTATTTTACAGCTGTAATTCACAATGCTTTTGAGGATCAAGAAGTCGCATTTAAGATTTAAATAACCAATTCATTGAAATTCAAGTATTCTGTAGTATATTTACAGCGCTTTTCATATTAGGGTTCTATTACATGTATGTCTATCTTGATCAAGAGGGTAGAGAAGAACCACCTGAAAGTTTTGGAAAATCTATCACAAAGATGGCAGTGATGCATAGATAAGAATTGCTTTTTATGGTAAAAAGGAAACAAAATGTGGCCCTTAAGTCGCCTTTAAGATTTAAATAGACAATTCATTGAGATTCAAGTATTCTGTAGTATATTTACAGCGCTTTCCATATTAGGGTTCCATTACATGTATGTCTATCTTGATCGAGAGGGTAGAGAAGAACCATCTGAAAGTTTTGGAAAATCTGTTACAAAGATGGTAATGATGCATCAATAAGAATTGCCTTCCTATGGTAAAAAGAAAACAAAATGTGACTCTTGATTTTTTTCTACAGGTGAAATATGAGACATGGATTGGCTTTGGGCTACGTAAAACAAATGCGAATGACGATTCGTTTTGCCCCAAAAATAAGCAAATAAACGTAGTAAACAGTGTGTTTGGATTGTTCACAACAAGTGAATGAAATCTTTCAAGCAAACAATGAGGTAAATTGTACATGAGTATTGAGATATCACAAATGTTTTCAACTTTGAATCACAGTCAAAGGAACAAGAAGTTACATACTTGATATCAGAAAATGTTTACGTTACATAAGATCAAAAAACGTTTCATACTCTAAATTGAAATTGAATACGTTTAGTCTCTTAAAGCTTTTTGAGGAATTCAGCCAGTTTCTCAGTAGAGCAACCAAAGTCAGCAATAAAATTAGAGCTTTTGAACTGAACTCCATGAATAACAGCATTTATTTATTTTTAGAGGGCACGGTAACATATCCTGCAATCTGATTGGTTCTTTACCCGGTCAGTATTTTCCTATCTCTGCCCACGGGCCACGGTAACGCTTTCGTGAGTCGCCGAGTACATCCCAACTTTCGTTACCATTTTTCATAAATATATCTCGTTTTTCCGGCTGGGCGGTATTTTTAAGCAAACACGTCGGCCACTACTTCAAGCCGATAAATAACTTATGAATCCTCTCTTTTCTCTTTCTCACATCACTTTGGTTGACAGAAAAATGTTGGTTTCAGAATGAATTTGTGCAAGCAATAGCGTCATTACGTTGGTTGACAAGCGGCCTATAAACCGTCTGCAATTAATTTAAATCGTTCACAAAAAATACCAAGAAAGTTAAAACGTGAGGTATTTGGTTACAGTTAACTGAGCGATGAAGCTTTCATTCATTGAATATCTGAATTTTCTCAAACAATTTGTTCGTAGTGAAAGAGCGAGAGAAGTTTTAATTTCAGTTCTACAACAAATATACGCTCCCGGTGAGTATTTCCAAGTCCGTTCAATTTGGACATTTGTACCGTAAATTGCACAACAGAAACTGAAGGAATTTATTGAGAAAAGGCTGCATTAAATCCCCTTGTGTCTCGTTGGAGTGTGCCATTCGAATTTAGTTTTTGTGGCCGAAAGACCAGATTTACACACGCCATTGCAGCAAACAAACGAGCAAACTCTCACAACTTCAAATTAAAAAATTTGAATTTACTCGCAATTACTTTCCTCGCCGTTTCCTTAATGAACAGAGGTAAATCTCCGAACATGAATGAATCGTCGATCAGGGTGAATCATACTTTCCGTTAGATCATTGACTGTCTTTGAAGAAAATGTTGTGGTGACAGTCCTTGCCAAACTAGTTCCGTTGTTTTTCAAATCTTTTTGCGCCGTTTTGTTTCTTACGCGCTCTCTTATTGACAGGTGTCAGATTGTGACAGATACTTGTAAAAATAATGTTTCAAATTTTGTTAACAAGCCTTTTAAATCACCTTTATCATTGCGGAAATGAAAATGTTTCGGTGAGGCATCTCTCTTTAATTTGCATCACCTCTATTTTAACCAGTTACTCGCTCAAAAATTGTTCAGTTTATGGAAGATCTTGTCGTATTTACAGCCCTAAATCATTCGGTTTCTTTCGGAAAGAATCTCGTCAAGTTTAAAAAAAATTAATATGTTGTTTACCGGCTAAGGGTCGGTCCGTATGGTGAAAAACTGTGACCGAGGTCTTGAAAATGCTGCCCCCGGCCTACGGCCTCGGGCAGTATTTTCAAGACCTCGGTCACAGTTTTTCACCATACAGACCGACCCTTAGCCGGCAAATAACATATATGTACTAAGAACAGCATTCCTACCTGGCCACGTTGATTATCATTGAATTACTTTCTGTTTGCACGCTCAGCGTCTTTCAAAGAGCATAAAGAGCTTGGATTATAGACTTCGCTGGTTTATTGCTTTCATAACTTAAGAAAATTTTGCTCCATCACACAAATCTTTTAAGTTTCAACTTACTCCTTATTGCCAGAAAATTACTTGAAGAAGTCACCATTTTGTTGATTAATTTACATTTTAAACCTCGAAGATCATAATCGAGAGAAAGCAGCGACCGGTGCAATGCCGACTTTCTTTCCCTTTGAAAAGTCTGTTTCAAAGGTGTGAAAAGCAATACCATATTTTTCACACCAAATTAATTTTACAGGCTGCCTGTAATTGGTCATGCTATTGTTTACTTTCCCCAGACCTCAGAAATATGAGAGACATGAGTTGAATGCATTTGATTTATGTTTGATTATTAATGGTTTTGTCTGTAATACGTACCCGCTACAATAAGCTGAACTGTACTCTCTACCTTGTAGATAAAGCTTCCAAACACATTACAACTAAATTTGGTATTGTCTCCAGGGTTGATGTTCTTGATTACCAGTGTAGCTCTTCCTTCAATTTTAACTCTTCCTTTGTAAGAAAGTGGAATATTAGGATGTTCTTGGACACCACGACTGTCATTAACCATCATTTGGACAAATGCACCATTTACCAGAACGCTATAGAGAGTGCTCTGAATGTTATTATGTGGATCAGTGTAGTCCCACACCAGGTTTGCATCACTACCATTGCTAAAGTAGCTTGGATTAGAAGGTTCCTGGGTGAAACGCACATCCACACCCCCTAAAATAGACAACCATAAGCATAATATTCTCAGCCCTTAAGTTACATGTGTAAAGAAGATATTTAGGAAGAAGGGCTTAAATAGAGTCCACCACAGAAGCACTTTTAATGTAAACAGTAACACCAACAAGTGATATTCACTGATATCGATCAGCTAAGTAAGTAAGTAAGTAAGTAACTTTATTTAACCAGGGTAGCCCATTTAGCAACGAGGCTGGTACCCTTAGGGGCCTTGGGGAATAAAGATATGTACAATTTATAAAATCTAAAAACATAAGTACATTTTTAAAAATTTTAAAGTTAGAGTAAAAATTAGAAAAACTCTAAAGAACATTTAAAAGGCTAAAATATACAAATATGATAAAATGTTCGTAGATTTCCTGGGGATAAAAATTACAAATAAAAATGTTTAACTATCGAACGTTTAAGATTACTCAAGGAGGGGGCACTCTTAATACAAGAGGGTAATGCGTTTCAGCTCGAAATATACTTTCAATTGCTAGGAAATAAGTTTCAATAACAGTAATGTATAATTACTTGCACATTTTTGAAAAGTTCCACTCTTTTTAATTTCAGAAATGTGTACAGGGGTAAATTTCCAAAATTTAAAAGTGGTACACTTGAAGAACTTGTTAATGTGGAAAACGGAAAGTGGAAAGTGGTAAATGGAAATGTCCACACATATTACATGTTAAACAAACGATCAGAGGATTCATTCTTCTACTCAATTCATTTTCTAATCTTTTGTCTTCTAGTTTTTGAAAAGTTATATGGTCTTATCTGAGCATCCTTCCCATCACATTAGATGTGCATCAGAGACGAAAACAACACAAAAGAAACCATTTAAGTGGTCTTGATGACCAAATTCTTGTGGGATTTAAAGCTCACAGCTGAAAAATTCATGTCTAAATATTGGAAAAGAAATCCAAGATTACGTGCAACACTTCTGTTTTTAAGAGATCCTCGCAGCTAAGAACACTACTGAAGAGAGTAAATAGGACCTGAAAAAATTCAGGCCCGTACGGGATTTGAACCCATGACCTCTGCGATACCGGTGCAGCGCTCTACCAATTGAGCTAACAAGCCAACTGGGAGCTGGTCAATGAATTGGGCCCAATTCATTGACCAGCTCCCAGTTGGCTTGTTAGCTCAATTGGTAGAGCGCTGCACCGGTATCGCAGAGGTCATGGGTTCAAATCCCGTACGGGCCTGAATTTTTTCAGGTCCTATTTACAACTACTCGTTTCAGTAGTGTTCTTAGCTGCGAGGATCTCTTAATTTCATCTCTCCACCGCAGTGCAAATATATGACTTTTCATATATCTAAAATCTTCACTTCTGTTTTTATTCTTGTCCTTTTCAACAGTGTATAACCAGGGCATATTTTGCATGTCCCATTCCCCGAATATGATAAAATGACATAATAGTGAATAAAAATGAACAAATATTTGCCAAAGGAGTATTGAATATTATTCGTTGATCTGCCCTTCACCTTCAGTAAATAATTGCTTTAATAAAATCGCTCAGGTGCTTTCAAATTTTGTTATTCTTACATCACAGAAATCAATTCCAAACATCAAGTTTTCTCTTTAGTTAAATTTTGTTGATTATATATAAAAAGTTTTCATTTAACTATCTATTGGCAAGTCTGTCTTATATTTCAACCCAACCATCTTCCACAACTTTTAAATACCATTACAAAATAATTAGTCAAGGAAATGGAAAATTTGTTGCATATACACCATGTTTGAAATGTCATGTCCATAATAAGCTAATAGGATTGAGGAGGGTGTATGTAGGAATAGGCTCTCTCGTCTGTAGCATTCATTTGTTAATTGCTCCTGTTGCCAATGTTTTGATGAGGTTGGGCTGTCAAGGTAGAGGAACTAGGGATTTTACAGTAAGCAGTGACTTTTTAAAACCTGGAAAGTATGATCTTGAAAGCCATACTTTTGCCTGGTAACTCATTATTATTCTGACAAACTAGTTTTAAGAAGGTGCAATATTTTACTACATATTACTTTGATTCAAAGGCTGTGCATAAAACTTTAATTTAATTAACCATACTTTTATAGCCAATATCAATCTCTACATATAATGAAGTGTTTGTACGATCAGAGGAAAAATAATGTATCATACATCTGCAAGATTTCATGTAATAATTTTTTTACATAAATATTAACTGATACTTAAGGAGATCTAAGAATATTCCAAAGAATACAAAATTTGTTTGAAAAATTAGATTTCAGCATAGGCTGGATAAGCAAGGTTTTTGGAAAAAGAAATATGCTCTGATGAACAAGCTAAGAAAACTTTTTTATAACACCTGCCTGTACTTGTATGGCCTAGTGAAGTCATTCGAAGTAGTCTTATTCCTGGTTTTATACATGTACATTAATACAAACACATGCACATGCAGATTTCCTATAAACCTGTAGTTTAAGCCTGCCATGAACTCAAAATGTTGATGCACACCTCAAAAGGAGAAAAAATAAATTTCAAGTTTCTTATTTACACAGTTTAGGTTAGTGACAGAGGTAAAATTGAGTCAGACATTCATACAATGACAGATTCAAGAAATTTCCACAAATAATTTATAAGGTTAGCCCACCTGGAATAGTCTACTCCGGGTACAAAATTGGACAGGTATGTACTGATGATGCACAAAAGAACTGTCTCTTGTAAGAAATCAGGCTTTTCTTCTCCATTTAAAAAAATTCTGAGGTTATCATCTTTCCACAAGCTCAATGGAAAGTGAGAGTGAATGAGACTGCATGATAGTAACAATGTTATTTGAGTAAATATCCAGAGGAGGATAAAAAGTAAGATATGGTCTGCACAACTCTTTTATTTTAATTTTTAGCTATAAAGCTAAGGCTTTTAAATTTCATGCTTTGTGTATTATGTGAATGCCAATCAATTTAACTTTCATGTGTCAAAAATACAAAAAATGTTCTCTTCATGTGCCTTAAACATTTAACGGGAGGTTATGCAGGTTAAGGTAAAAACATGATTTAAAATAGGAGAGCCCCCATTAATTTCAATCCTATATTAAAAGGAGGATCCTTGCCTTTCCAGATTCCCACCCTTTAAAACTCACCTGTGACCAATTCATTATATCAATGTTTAGCTTGGGTATGAGCATTGGTAAGAAACACTATGCATTAATGAAAGCTAATATGCAAGAGTATTTAATACAATTTAAATAATCCTACATGTTGCAATGTGGTAACTTACATAGAAAAATTATATAATCACACAATTCCAAACAAAGGATTTCAGGTTATTGACTCAACTGTTTCAGGTCAACTCTCAAGTTGAAAGCTAAAAGATATATTTTACAATCAACAAACCTTATGCATCTTAGCAAAAGAGAGTCAATTACCACCACAACTTCTTCCAAACATTCATGCTTACAGGAAATCATTAACTTTTGTTACTAAGTAGTACTGCACTTACAATAGACAGAAATGCACTCTTCTAAAGTTATCTCATAGCATGTGACTGTTCAGGTCATGTGGAGAGTTCCTGCATGGGAACTGATATTTCAATTACCTCAGCAAACTGTAATCCTCAGAATTGCAAGCCAAGGTGTATTTACCAAGTGCTCAAATTTCCAAATTATTAAGTCACCTAATTGTTACAGGTGAGTTTACTCCTTTTTGAGACTATCTTCAGCTTGATCATCCTGTTACACATGAAAACATCAAATGTTACTCACATATTCAAATAATTGTCTGAATCAAAAGTTATAATTTTCTTAATAACCTACTTCCTTTAATAATGCTCCAGGTATTATCTCAAGTTTTACACATAGTCTCTCTTTTAAAAATTGTCAGTCACACTCAATAGAATATAATTTCAACTGATGCTGACATCTTACACTTCTTCTGAAGAAGATAAGATTCCCTATATTCGAAAATTTGCTCAAAATATCAGGATCAACAATGAAGGTCCTGACAGCTGCTTGAAGATACTGCTGACTAGCATGCATGTTGATCGCTTCACAAGTTGTGAGGATGTTATCCCCAGATTCCAGACTTTGTCGATTCTTCCCTTCCCTCACCATCCCCCAGACCCCTTCACTGGTCCCTAAATCCCCTTGAAGAAACTCTTCTACAGCCAGTGCTGAAGACTTTTCTTACAGCCTCTGGTTAGCCACCAGGTACAGGCATAGTATTCATCTTGGCTCGAAGCATCACACAACAACAAAAGGGCTTCCCGCTTTGCTGCGGTACATGTAAGAGAAAATAATTTCAATAAATGTCGAGCAGCTTTCACAAAAAGAACAAAAGTAGCAACCAAGTGTGCTTCTGATAGCATTAAATGGTAAATTAACTAACCTTTCAAACCTTAATTTCTGACAGGAAAAATCAGACTTTTCTCACACTATTGAAAAGCATAACAAGTAAAAGATGAAATTCAACTCTTTTTGTACCTTTGTGTCATTAGGCATTCTCATGCTCTACTTCTCTGCAGGACTGAGCGAGACTGGAACTAAATGTACTTCTGATGTGAAGCACTTCTGCCCAAAAAAAGGCTGGATTTGGTACAATCCTTGATTTACCCTGAAAGCCAAATTTGCCCTTGCTTTTTTCCACTATCACCTATTGGAATCCTGAGACAAGCCAGTTGGTTCATAAACTGTATACCTTCAGACCGCAAACCATCAAATGGCAGCATCTTTGTAACTTCTTAAACTTATTATAAAATATGGTTTATTCACTCAGAAGATCTGCTTCTATTTACAACAACAATCATTTCAGAGCAAGTGCATTATCAAATTTAATGTTATGCTTTGGTATGACTAAGATCCAAAAATGGTTAAATATGGTTAGGACATGTAAGAAACATAGATGCTTCATAGATAGTGAGTGTGTGTGATTTCTATTCACAAGTTGTGCAGAATAAAACAATGAGCAAGGAACAAGCAAGTTTTTGTCTAGACAATAAGTAGATAAAAATTGCACAAACAAACTAACCACGAAGTAATTTGAGG